TTTACTAGTTACATCATCATTCTATGTTATTATTCCTAATTCTTACCTTTCTTAATACATTGTTTGAAGTTATTTACTAGTTACATCATCATTCTATGTTATTATTCCTAATTCTTACCTTTCTTAATACATTATTTGAAGTTATTTACTAGTTACATCATTATTCTAAGTTATTATTCCTAAGTCTTACCTTAATAATACATTGTTTGAAGTTATTTACTAGTTACATCATCATTCTAAGTTATTATTCCTAATTCTTATCTTTCTTAATACATTGTTTGAAGTTATTTACTAGTTACATCATTATTCTATGTTATTATTCCTAATTCTTACCTTTCTTAATACATTGTTTGAAGTTATTTACTAGTTACATCATTATTCTAAGTTGTTATTCCTAATTCTTACCTTTCTTAATACATTGTTTGAAGTTATTTACTAGTTACATCATTATTCTAAGTTGTTATTCCTAATTCTTACCTTTCTTAATACATTGTTTGAAGTTATTTACTAGTTACATCATTATTCTAAGTTATTATTCCTAATTCTTACCTTTCTTAACATATTGTTTAGAGTTATTTACTAGTTACATCATTATTCTAAGTTGTTATTCCTAAGTTATTGTACTCACTTAACCTAAATAATTTTACATTTTGTAATAAAAATATTCTTGTAGCTTAACAAAAACACAATGTAACATCAAATATTAACACAAATGAAAAGAACACTAGAAACCATAAAAAAAAAATCTGGCTTCTAAATGTTAAGGACATATTTCAAAAAAAGTTGTCTTTGAGTTGCTTTCTTACCACTGAGTAAACTAGTTTCACATTTTTCAAACATATTTTAGCGTCAATGACAGATCATTAAAGATGAGAAACATATTTTTGTACGGTCAAAGCGATAGTCCTTTTTATGTGTTCACTACCACTCAAAGTTCTCAAGAACTCGATAAACAGAACAGTAGAATTTACTTCAACAAATAAATTTACACTTGAACAAACAAACTGAAGATAATGAAATACATACCAAAGTAAGAAATACATTGAAATTTGATTGCAAGAAATAAATTCCAGAAGTACAAAGTTTACAGTTCACAGAGAAATGAAAGTCTGAACATGTTTGGAATTTTTTATTCAAACTAAACAATAAATTAAATACTGCTAGAATATCAAATGTAGAAAAGTTTTGAGTGAAACAACTGTTGAAATGGAGTGAATAACATTCTTGTTAATCTAATTTCATTCACACGACTTCATATTTTGTACTCGTTCTATCAGAATTTGCTAACTAGCAACAAATTACTTACCGATATGCTTTTCCATCTACCTTCTTGATCCAAATGATACGACACAGAGAAAGTGATCTGAAAAACAAACATCATGTAAATCCATACATGCTAAAATGGTTTGTTAATATTCAAATCATTTAGTTCTTTTTACTCCTGCCAGAGCTGAATAAATATATACGCAAGATGAGTTTCATAAATACTCAGTGTTTCATAAACTAACAATTTTCAAAACAACCTTCAAAGTAACAAGCTACTGACAAGAATAAAATGTCAACATATGACAAAAGAAGCAGCATAAATTCATATAGAGAAATGTTTAAAACTGAAAACCAAGTAAGAAATTGCAGACAAATGTTTACCATCAGCCACTTCATAAAATAAAATACCCTTCAGATGATTTAAATCTCTACAGTTTTCCCATAAAAAAAAGAGTCTTTGCTACTTATGCTTTACTATCTACAGCAATTTACAGACTGACTTTAAATAAACCAAACTGACATTCTATGGGTTTCAGATTCAAACCAAGAAGGTCTTAATTTTTTTTTTTAAATGTCATCAATAACAAAAACACAACAGCAGCAAAGACGAGAGGAAACTGTCTGTACCACTACCTACCGTAATCTCGGTATCCCTCATGTAGTCATCGTACGAAGACTCTCCATACTCGACAGACAACAGAGGGGGGTAGACCGTTCCTGTTTTGTCGTCGTTTTTTAAAGTTATACTGAAATAAAGTGGTTCCAAATTTGCTTTTTTGTTAGCAGATTTAACAGTACAATTGATTTAGGCACATAAGTGAATTTTTCCTTTGTCTGAATGCTTAAATGACGTTTGAATGGGATATTTCTTTAGTTTACATTACGGTTATCTGATTCAGATGTTGGAGTTTCAATATGCATCTCTCTCTCTCTCTCTCACTATTCTTTTTTTTTTATGATGCAACAAATCCCAGAATATAACTTGATCTAAAATATATACCTCAAAAACATTTGTTTTTTAATATTGTAAGTTCTCAAATAAATGAAACGAAGAGTTTTGGATTCTACATAAAGATATCCTTTCCAAGTTATTGTTAAAATTTGTCAAAAAAATCACACAACTTTCAATGCTTTGTTCACAATACTAACAATAATCTCATAAGAACATTTCAGTTAACCAGTATTAAAATTTCTTATTTTAAAAAAATTCTTTAGAAAAATTAATCATGACAAAACACCTACATTTACCCAGATAAATGTATTTTCTTTTCCACTGTAAAATCAATAAGAATAACAATTACACTAACAAGAATCAATAAAATATCTTCAATAACACTGAAATGTAAATACAATTTTTATGTTACATACTTTACAAGAACAAAAAGAATCTTTTTCAGGTTAAATATTTAAAGTCAATATTACATAAAACAGTTTCTTTTGACACCATCACTCGGAAAAGTACATCAAACTATAAATCTGGTACAGATACCACTATTTTACTACAGAAATGTTACATTCTCTCTTTATTAGATTTACAAGCTAAGGACATGTTGTGTTCTCTCTTTATTAGACTTACAAGCTAAGGACATGTTACGTTCTCTCTTTATTAGACTTACAAGCTAAGGACATGTTACATTCTCTGTATTAGATTTACAAGCTAAGAACATGTTACATTCTCTGTATTAGATTTACAAGCTAAGAACATGTTACATTCTCTGTATTAGATTTACAAGCTAAGGACATGTTGTGTTCTCTCTTTATTAGACTTACAAGCTAAGGACATGTTGTGTTCTCTCTTTATTAGACTTACAAGCTAAGGACATGTTGT